ATGCTGTACAACCTCCACAAGACGCTGGCAAGAACACAGAACACGCGCTCGACAAGTCAACCAAAGCCCCGGGAGTGTTTAAGGAGTCTGTTTTTGGAAAGCGAGAGGACCAACCCCAGGGCGAGGTCTGGACACCAGTTGTCGGAGACTTAGAGAAAATGATACAGCGAACAGCTGAGAAACAAAACCCTCACACACACACAAACACATCAGCAATAGACAAACATACCAAATGAGAAGGGAAGAGATAGTACACACTACACACAAAAATCAAAATAAGAATTACTTTATTTAAATAAAACATAGATGAGACGAGATGCAATGAGAATAGAAAAGATGAGAGATGAAAAAAGAAAGACAGAAAAGGCGAGACAGTGAGAAGAGGTTTTATATACAGTATAGGCCTACACGAGAAATGCTGGGTTTTTTTATTTAAAAAAAAAACAGTATCATGGTTTCCACAAAAATATTAAGCAGCATGATAATAATCAGAAATGTTTCTTGCAGCAAAACATGATTTAGATTTGAACACAGGAATAATTTACATTTTACAATACATTCACATTTAAAACTGTTTTTAATTGTAATAATATTTTACAACATTACTGTTTTTACTGTATTTTTGAATCATAATGCAGTCAAAACATTTTTAAAATCTTACCATCCCCAAAATTTGTGTGCACACACACACACACACACACACACACATATATATATATATATATATATATATATATATATATATATATATATATATATATATATATATATATATATATACATTTAAAACACACTATTCTTTACCAATAAAACATAATAAATAATTCTGTTAACCCTAATTTGGCAATCATTTTTTTTTTAAAGTTATCAATTCTATTCTGAATGTTTATGCAATCCATCTGCAGTATTTTAATTTTTCAGAAGAAAAAAAAACACAATTCAACAAACTAAATGTTGTGTTTCTTGAAACCATATAAAAGTTCATTCAGAGACAAGACCAGACCAGACTCGAAAAGATGTGAATCTTTTAACACTGAAATGAGAAACGGATCTGTGAGACATTGAGATGTTGTTGGTGGCACTGCAGCAAGTGAAATATGAGATCTTTATACACACACACACAAACAAACACACACACATGAATACACAGAGAAGATTATCAGATGATTTCAGCTTTGGTAAACATGAGTGCACTTAAAATAACAACTTATTGTGTCTGTTTTTTCAGGTTTGTCTTTACTTAAATGTGACCTAAATGTGTTCCAAAGTAGTCGAGTTCTTATTAAGGTTTTAAAAGAAAGTTAAAATGATGATTGAAGTTATCATGAGCGAGAGACTATAAATATATTTAGGAAGTCAGCAGCAGATTTTACAGTCACTCATTTGTGGGTTTAGATCCCTGTTCGGTGTGAATTGGGCCTGTTTCCTGCCATGAAGCGGGAAGTGTCTTTCTCACCAGCACACAACTGTGTGTGTCTGTGTGTGTGTGTGTGTGTGTCTGCAGCCAGATCTCTCTTAAATCCTGATATACTGTCCCTATATGTGTTTACACACACACACACACACACACAAGCGTGCTGTAGGGTAAAGAGTACAGGCATGCTCAGCTCAGATTTGAGATTTCTCCAATGGGGGTTGTGTCTTTCATCAGCTTTACAAATGCAAATAAAGCTTTATTATTCAAACTCTGGGAGGGGGAGGGATGGCCCAGATGCATCAGGACGGCATGCGAGGACTCGTTCACAGTGTGTAGTGTGAAATTCGTCAGGTGATTACAGTACTTCACTCGTTCAGGATCTAGTAGGTGACAGACGGTGTTTAAACTCAGTCACACTCACTGTCCGCCTCTCTTTGATCATGACTGGACCCGGTGCTGGTTAACCCGAGTTACTCTGGTCAACTGCATGGCCATGTTGTTTTGTTCAAATAATTTGATCTGGTTAACTCGCCATCTCCGTATACAACAAGTTACCTTTTAAACTGCACTGTAATATAAACTCCACTGTAATACAAATTAAGAAATTCAAAGTTTTAGTTAGCAGAACTGGCAGATGTTTTATTTTGTACTCATGCATTTTAATTACTCTTAACTTGAAATATTTGTGTAAGCTTATTCATACATTTAATTTAAAATTATGTAATCTCAACTTAAATATTTTTAGTAGTGGAAACTTGGCCGGTTTTAACTACCTCGTTCAGTAAATGCTTACTTGCTAATTGGTAACAATGCCTTGATAGCCATAGCATTGCTGAATGACATTTACATTTAACATATATCCAAACTAAGCTCATGCTCCACTTGTCAACCCCAAAAAATGGCAAATAACAGAAACTCTTCTAGCATAGCAAAACATCAAATATCCAGTTTGACATTAATCTTGCACACAAAAAAACATGATATAACAATTTTAGCATTTACTCCCTTTTGAGTGTGGCAAAGCATGCTGGGAAATAGAAATCCTATTTTCAGTCCTATCCAATCCCAGCAGTTTCAGTTGTATTTAAGTTTGTCTAAATTAAAAGAATACAGTTCATAAAACTCAAACCATATTAAACAATTTAGATTACTCATATTGTGTCAGTTGTGAACTCAAAAGGAAAAGAAAGTTCTAAATACTCATAAAAGTTAATAAACTAATTTGTTTAATTTAAGTTTACCCTACTCAAACCAATTCATTATTTTGAGCATTAGGGTTTACAGTGAACGTTTTTTTGTTTTTGTTTTTTTGCTTAAAACAAGAGAAAGATAAACAAACAAAAAAATTTAAAGTAAATTGATTTAGCTTTAAGGTTGTTTACACATTTTTACTGGTAAACAAGACAAAAATGTAGTCTTGTTTTAAAAAACAGCACGATAACTTTCAGGTAAACATGCATGCAAACCTCAAACCTGTCCCTGTGAAATGTGTGTGTTCAAATGGAAAGGAAGGGAGTTTTAGGAACAGAGGAAAAAGGAAGTCCCGCTGTTCTCTAATCAAAGTAGGCTAAGTGCATTTTGGTGACTTTTTCAACCTTAAACTTTCCTCGAACACTTTGAGATTTGCATTTAGGAATCAAAATGAAACTTCAGTGGGCACGACGAAAGGTTATATGTCTCCTGAGCTCGTCAACAGTTATCTAACGTTCATCAGTTACAGTTTTGGCACACTCTCTTTCTTTCGCCCTCTCATTCAACTTTTTTTTTAATGCCCTGCGGTTGCAGATTCCACAATAAAACGGTTCCCACGGGCCGACACACACAGACATGCACACATATCGTGGGTGCTGTCAAACATTATGTGTCATTACTATGATTCCTCAGGCAATGAAACTACACATGCAGTTTCATGCCAAAAAAAAGAGGGAAGGCAAACAAACTTGTACATGAACAAAAACAATATGACAGAAATTGAATTAGTGCATTTATATGGATTGTAAATAGAAACATTAAAAGAGAAATGATAGCACTCAACGCTTATAAGATCATAAGTACAGCGTAGGTCAATTATAGGTCATACAAAGGGGAATTCTTCTGACATGATTGATCTTTACCTCTTATTGATCATTTTAGAGATGACTATTGAAGTGCCTAAGTGTGAGAGAAATAGATTATGACTATAAGAAACAGTGTGCCCACATTTACCAAAAAGTACTGCGGTGGTACCATGGTAAAGTGACTGTATCTGAGAAATGGAAAAACTATGATATTTGTATATACAGTATGTGCGTATGATATAAATGTGTGTGTGTGTGTGAACATGCAATCATTTAGAAGCCTACTTGTTTGAAGGTCTACGATCTTACTAAATTATTAAAGGCCCACTGAAGTGCCTTGAAACGTGCAGCATTATTCGATGTGTTGACGTAATTTTCAGGGCGGGACATATCGAACAGCTCCTCCCCTTTTTAAAAATAGCCAATCGCGTTTAGTTTATATCACAGCTCGGCCAGAGCCGTTGAGCTCGGGAAAGCTGCAGTTTTCTCATAATCTCTAACCGTTTCTCCTCCTTATCTCTTCCATATCGCTTCAAAATTCAGTGCAGAATTCAAATGGATCCGATATGTTTTGTGGTCTGCGTCGACTCGATCACCGGAGCCGCGGCGGTTCGCGTGACACTAACGTGAAACTTCATTCGCCCCCAATGGAAAGCATATTTACACTGTCTGAAATGTTCTCTATCCCTATAGTGCACTATGTGCCATGCATGTAGAAAACAGTAAATGTGTGAACAAGTGACCGATTTAAGCCGCAGCTTCAGCTTCTATTTACAATGAAGGGGGCGGAGCTTTAGATTCTAGAGAGCATTTGATTGGACAGAAAATCTGATGTGAGAGACTGAGTTTTTAATGCTTTTATCTTCTAAATGCGAATTTTGTCATTGTTTTGGTGCACACTATAGCTTATAGATAACAATAGTATCATAGGCAGTGATAACAGGCTAACATATACTCAAAGCCAAAAAAACTTCACTTTAAAATGTTCACATACATTTATATTAGATACTCCAAAAGTACTTTTAATGTCTTCAAAAACATACAAAACAAAATATGTTATTAAACATTCAAAACAAATGGTATAACCATATATCCAAAAAGCTAGTGTTACCATGGTACCATGTAAGGAAAATATAGTATTACATACTATTGCACAAGCACACATTCATGGCATTACCATACCATGTCCAAAAAACTCTTAGCTGGTGATACAAAAACATGTTCCTCCTTTAGAAATGGGCGACAAAGGACACACACTTTCAGCATTGGGTCTTGATTTGTTAATGAGGCCACCCCCCCTTTTCTATGGGTCTGAACTGGCGCCAACAGAAAGCAGTGATCCGCCCTAGTCCCTCCCCAATCCTCTAGACGGGATGGGACAGGAATAAACCTGCATATCCCACATTAATCCTGGGAAGAAAGTGTGAGAAAGTTTTTTTTTCTTCCCTCGCGGTGAAACTAAACTGTGCAGGGAGTGTTCACTCTCTTTTTTTCCCAGATGCACATTAATTTGAAGGTAATCTCTCTCTCTCTCTCTCTCAGTACCTGCGCGGATGGATAACGCTCGAGCGTGAGAAGTCGTTCAGATTCAGAAGAGCTCGCGACGTTCAGAGTCCCACGCGACAGTGACATCAGCGCACGCGCACGCTCACGCGCGCTACGAGCTGAGAATCAAGCAGAGTTCCCACGAGCAGCAGCGACAAGAGACGCTCTCGAGAGACTGGGATTTATTTATTATTAACACGTATATTTATTCAAACTCTTTTGCACTTTTTGGGAGATTTAAAGAAGACTTCAGGGGATCTATGAGAACTTCAGTAAGGATTTTACAGAAGTTGTAACGCCGAGGCGGAGTTATGAACCGTTTCTTGGTGAAATTAACGCTACTGACGGCAGCATCGCTCGCGACGGTGGCACAAGGTATCAAAGATCAATGCAACTCTAATAACTTTTTTAAATGATATGCATTTAGTCATATGACTCTGTTTGGATTCATTTGATATTTACAAACTGTTCTGTTTTGATTTGCTCGGAGATATTTCTGCAGAACTTGAGCTTTGAGCGTCACTTGTTGCACAGAATATTCTGATATTGTCTTTGATATTGATAAACACACGACTTTCACAACTCTTTCTTTCATTTCCATTATTTTTATGTCATTTATTGGCTGTTTTTGTTGCATGAAACCCCAAACCATCAATGAAAAAGACACAAACTACAAATATCAGCATATCAGTTGTGTAGCCTATAAAAACCATCATAGAATACAATAACATAGACTTTCAGAAAGTTATTAATAGCCCCTATGTATTACAACTCGCTCGCTCTTTCTTTCTAAAAGGGGTGTACCGGTATATTGATATTCAGGCCTATTGATTCTGTTGAATTCAAAGTGTAATTCAGTGAAATTATTTTATTTTAGTCTATTTGGGGTAAATTGGACCACTTTTTGACAGCCGCCTCAATGTGTCTAAAATCTCTCTTTTTAACTTGTTCATTCACTAATGTAGCCTAACTTTGGCGAATAGTTTATTTTCTTGTTATTATATGCAGATCACAGAGGCATATCTTCACGTTAAGGTTGAGTAACTTCAGAACTTTATGACAGTGTAAGTGCTTGATTTCTGAAGTTATTGTGGTTGTTTTTTAGTGTTCAGGATTTTTTTTTTGTCTGGTGTCCCTGATGTTGATTGAGTTGCATTGTGTGTGGAGTCTGGAGGAAAGCGATCTGTGAGTGAGTGAATGAATGAAGGGAGGAGGAGGGGGATGCTGTTGTTCTCGTGCGCTGGTAAACAATGGCTCGAGACAGTGTTTTATAGGCTCGTGCTGGACTCTGATTCCTTTTGTCCGCGCGGCGTGGGCTCTGCAGCTGTCGCGCGCGCCCCTAGACCCCCCTCTCTCCCTTTTTATTCTTCTTCTTCTTCTTCCTCCTCCTCTTCCTCCACACACACACACTCCACCAGGCCACGCTCCCGTAGAGGAACCGAGAGAAGACAGACAGGGAAATGACACAACTAGACAGAAGAGACAGGAAACGAAACAGACGCTTATTCATGTTAAATTCTTCACATTTCAAGCCTGAGGTAAACCAGTGAAGAAAGAGAGTGAAATTATGCTAACAAGAAGTTCTGTGGGGGTACTATGGTATTTAGTGGACCAATATTGTACCAATTGTATGGCAATTCCATGGTAGACTGGTCTATGTATATATTCACGTACCATGTTATTTACATGATACTTAAAAGATGACCCATTTCCATTGAAAATGTAAGGAATTATAAGGTTAGAATTACTGGAAAAATAGCCTATAATTTATTATTTTTTATTACTTAATGGGAATGGATAGTTCACCCAAAAATGACATTTCTGTCATCTACTCACCTGAACACAAGAGATGTTCTCAAGAATGTTGGTAACAAACCAGTTGATGGACCCCATTGACTTCCATAGTATTTTTTTTCTCCACACTGTGGAAGTCAACGGGGTCCGTCAACTGTTGGTTACCGACATTCTTGAAAATATCTTTTTTTTGTGTTCAACTGAAGAAACTCATACAGGTTTGGAACAACTTGAGGGGGTGAGTAAATGATGACAGAATTAACTTTTTTGGCTGAACTATCCCTTTAACTTCCATTACGTTTTATTATTTAATGTGATTAAATACTATTATTTAATATTTAATAACTCCTAGAAAATGTAGAAAAAACAAAGCTTAACTTTAAAATGAGGGAACTTTAAAAGGAGAATTAGTACTAGTGGTGTAATCTATAACAAGGACCAGTCTGAGAGTTTTGACTAAGAGCTTTGTCTCTAGACAGTCGTCAGCAATTAAAGACGGCCTGCAGGCAGCTGGTTTCATTCAACAAGTGCACAACTGCGGTCTATGGTGACTGGCTTCGATGTGCTGTTAATCCCTAAAGTGTGACGTTGCACGCTCCTGCTAAAAAATACACTTCCCTCCATCATTGGACACATTGGCTTATTAAACCATATTGAATGCTCAGTCAAAGTCAAATGTGCACATCCCAACACTGTCAGCTAAACTTAAACTAGTGTGAAGCTGATATATTAATACTGAAACCGGAAGTAGTGTATTTGGAGTTTAAACCCTTGTTAAAAGGCTGACTGCCACATGGAGAGGGAATTGTAGAGAATGTGGAGCTATTTCCAGGCTCAGTGTTAGATAACTGGATTTTTCAGGATCTCTTTAGATGAATAGTCAAGAACCATTCATCAAGATCCCCCCTCCCTTCCAGTCCCCCATCAAAGTCAGTTATTCACAATTCAACAAAAGGTCAGTGGCTCTCCATCGGGGCCACAAAACAAAGGGCTCCGGGCCCTTTATTGATGTCTGTAGGTGGCAAGGTTCTTTTGTAAGGAGTTAGCATGTGTGTTTGCATTGACAGGTGTGCTAGGGGTTGTACAGGTGGGTGGGTGAATGCAGGTTTGACCTGGTTTTCTACAGGTGATCTGTGATAGTTGATTGCTGGGATGCACTAACACATGTTTGTGTTTGTTCAGGGCAAAGATGCTCAGAATACTGTCAGAATGGAGGAATATGCGAGCTCAAGCCGAGCGGAGAAGCATCATGCAGGTACGTTACAAAAACCTTAAGCTGTACTCTTAATTGTCCAAGGATCTTTGGAGAACCCAAAATGGTCCTTCTATTGCATCGTTGGGAAAACCCTCTTTTGGAACTGTTATTTTTAAGAGTTTAGGAAATTTAAGTTCCACAGAAAGTTTTATTCTCTAGTTCTGTGGAAAACCATTTATTCTTTGGTGCTAGAATCCAAAACACGGATCTGAAAAACTTTTCCAATGAACCATATTATAGCAACTCTATATGCCCCAGTTCTATGTTGAACATTATTTGAAAGAGTGTAACATGCATAATATTGAGTTGTAAATAAAACAATGTTTTACAGGAAGATTCTCTATATCTACTTAAATTTCCCATTTTACTCAATGTGTTACTAACAGCAAGTAGCACATTTTATTCAATGTGTTACTTGCTGTTAGTTTGTAATAATTTTTTCAGTTTGCCCAGTAAAATGGTTGTAAAAGACCATGTTTTTAAAGAAAAGTGTGTGTGTGTATACCTGTGTATTTGTTTGTAAGCTGTGATCTACCATGTTGAGATTCCATCTGTAGGACCAAACCCTTCTTAGCAACCAGACAAAGCTCTCAGCATCTTTCGAGTGTGTGCGCATGTGTGAACATGCACGCGGCCATAGTCATTTGGTTTCAAACTTGGATAAAAGACCCCCCTACCAACCCCCCAGTAGTCCGTTGGTGCCCTGCTGCAGTGGGACGCTGCTTCTGTCAATGTCTATTCATGCCATTCAGCCCAACAGCTGGCCCTCACCTCCTATTGTCTCACACACACACTTAGCAACCATGGAATAAAACTTGCATCTGTTCTTATAGGATGCATACACTAAGATGTTTCCATAAAAATCAGATTTTGTTGTTTATTTCAGTCTTTTTTGCTTTTATCTGTTTTCCTACACTCTCGGGAGGCTCGCTGTATGTGTGTGAATGGTGTCTTTTTTGGAGGGCAGATGGCGGAGGGGGTAATAAGATTGCAGGAGCTCATGAGAATGGCCTCAGTGTGTGTGTGTGTGTGAGACGCTTTAAAGTGGGGAAATTCAAATGCAAACAAGTGTGTGAGACTGTTAGCCGCATTTCTCTTTCTCCATTTATACTTGCGAAAATGTAATCTAGGAAAGGTTGCCATATCCTTTGTCACTTTTACACTTTCAAGTTCAAAATAAAATTGAATTTTAATTGCGAGGGAGTTCTGGACGTTTGCTTTATTATAGATGGTTGCTATGAATTTCCGCCTTTTTGATGAAAACATGCGTTTTTGTCTGTGCATCAGTTGCTGCCATTATGTTGAATTTAAAAATAAAGGTTATTTATTGGTATCTATGGTTCCATGAAGAACCTTTAACATCCATGGAATCTTTCCATTCCACAAAAGGTTCTTAAAAAAGGGTTCTTTAGTTTTTTTTAAATGTTCTTCACACTAAGAAAACGGTTCAATGATGGTTCTTCTGTGGCATCACTGTGAAAACCCCCTTTTAACCTTTATTTTTAAGAATGTGAGGTTGCTTGCTGATCTGATGGTTCATATAGCTCAGATGTTCAGTGCAAATCTATGGGTTTTTTTCCTTTCAAGTTTATAACCCGGAGTATGAGCAATAACAACAGTGATAATTACCTTAGCAAGTGGCTCTAATTAATGTATGAATCAGTTTAGCAAAGAAGAAAGGAAGAGAGAGATTTTCTGTTGAGTTGCTTGCACACACATTCAGTGGGAGCCAAACCCTGAACATCCTGTTGTGATGACCCCGTCAATAAACAGGAAGATCAGAGATATTTTTTTATCCCAGAAATATCTCATCTGAACTTTGACGCCTTTCCTGTGTGGTCCGAATCTCCGCCTTGGAAATTGTTTGTAAATCGCCAGTGTTTGTGAGTGTGTAAGCGTGTGGGGATTTCTCTGGCTTGTTGCATCTGAATTGAGGTCGGCGCTGCTTGAACTTGTTAAAGTTCACATGAACTTCTGACATTTAGTGAGAGGATGTCCTACTTTACGTCGAGTTAAGCGTTCCTGTAATGATCTTTGATGACACAGGCTCATTTATAAAGCAAATAATCTTTATGCGAAATGGTGAAACTCTGACAGTCTATAGTCATACTAGATTACATACTCATTCTATACTAGGAAACTTGACCTATTTGGGTGATGCCATATTAAAACCACTTATTTCAAGTATTTGTAGGTGTGGTCCGAGTTATGGAGGTGTTGGGTATAAGCTAAGGCGTGTTACTGTATGTATGCGCAGCAGTATTGTTATTATCTAAAACGATTAAAAATCACTTTTGTTAACTGAAATGAAACTAATATTAGATGAAGAAATTCAGCTTGAAAAACTTAAACAAAAATTGAAAAATGTTGCCTTTGTAACTAACTGAAATAGAATATTTTTATTTCAGTTTTAGTTATTTTAGCACTTAAACCTAGTCAAATAGAGATATATAAAAACAAACTTAAAAACATGACAAACCCTAAACTAAAATTGAAATATAAAAACAATAGCTAATTCAAAATATGAATGCATAATACTAAAATAACACTCTGTAGTCTTGTAAAACATCCATTCACCATGTCTTTGATGGTCATTCAGATCAGATGTACTGATTAGCAAAAACATTTCATTGAATTAAATAGTATTTTTAACTATTATTTTGTCTAGTGTTAATTCTTCTAAAGGCAGGATTTCTCAAATCATTAGTGCACTTTGTCTTTCTAGAAGTCAAATGTTCCTGATTGTATCTCGATGATTGGAGAATGTCAACAGCTCCAACCTATTCCATGCTTTTCCACATTTTTGGGCTTCGTTTTAATGGAGCTTAGTGCTTTAGTGATGTATATGAATGCAATTGCAAAATGTCTTAACGCAATTCATAATGCAACAAGGTCCCTGTGTGTTTTGTTAGTCTTTCGGTATATGAACATCATATGAACATCAAAGGTTCTTTGACTCCTGAACATTCCACAACACCTGACATCAGTTCTGGAACTGTTGGAATGCTGGAGGGTGGGAAGTTAATTGGAAGCGTGGAATCAGAATTCCAGAGTTGTCATTTGAATCCTGGAATGCTGTATGACCTTGTACCAACCAATTGTGGTTGGATTGGTGACCGCTTTTGGCTGGGCATTATAATGATGGCCAATTTATGTGTGGTGTGTTTTAATTGCATCATCACTAGATGTGTGTGATGTCGTGAACAACCAGAGTTATTTGTAGAATGAAGCTCTGTGTGTGAGCAAGAGACAGATCGTTGTGATGAACATACGTTTCTAAATTTGACCTCGCACCAAAACCGTGTGAAAGAGCTTGTGTCTGGAAGCATGACTTCAGCTTTCTACCTTTTGTTGAGTAACTTCTGCATTATAATATTTCACTTAAACTCACACTTCCACGTCATGTGTCTAGTTTGTTTCTAATGTGTGGGTTTGCATGCACGGTTTATGGTTTGGCGACGTGCTTTCCTGCGATCCTCTTCTCTGAACTGAATGTAAACCTATAACAACAGTTCAAAATCAACTCACTAAAGCTCTGAGAAAACCACGATGGAACGGTTTTGTTGATTTAAGTGAAGTGAGCAACTTAAATCAATAGGAAGCGAACATGAACTAACAATAAGCAATATATCTTTGACAGAATTGATTCATCTTTGTTAATATTTGTCAAAAAAAAATACAATTCTTCATTGTTTGCTCATACTAGTTAACGGTGCATTATAGTGTTAACAGATACATCTTTTGATTTAAAAAAAAATGTATTAGTAAATGTGGAAATGAGCAATTAAGATTAACAACTGCTCTATTTTTCATTGTTCATTCATGTTTACTAATGTTAGCAAATGAAACCTTATTGTAAAGTGTTACTGATATATAATATTTGATAAGTTCATTTGATAAGTTAGAGTGGCCACCAAAACATAAACCGACTCAAATTGATGTGTTTGATTGAAATGTCTCGTGTTTGCAAAGGTGTGAACCGTAAGAACAGAGCTCTGAGGGCCAGAGGGATAAAAACGAAAGTTTGTTGTTTTGATTCTCACTGAGGGGCAGGAAGTCTGTGGTGTGAAAACACACACACACACACACACACACACACACACTTGCACAGAAGGCCGCGGCAGCAGCAGATGGTAGACCAGCCCACTGGAATGGGGGGGTCTGTTGCCTGCAGTCACAAATGTGCTCCGGGGTCACAGGTCACCGCAGCATCTGTTCAGAGTCGAGTCTCACACACACTCCTGCTCTCGGACCTGTTGCCGTGACGGGCTGCGGATGACTTCTGCTGCTGCCTCTGGGGACAAAGAGACAGACTGCGTTAATGCCTCAAGTAAACTCACACACTCATCTGCGCCTGCAAGTGTTTGCGTTGGGATGTCTCTATTATTAAACTACTGCATGTGATTGGCAGTTGTATTGTGATTATGGCTACCAATTAACATATTAACTAGATTTGTTGTAATTTATTTTCTACATTTATTTTTAAAAATATTTATATTTTTTAGATTTATATTAAAAATGTGTGTGGGTGATATATATATATATATATATATATATATATATATATATATATATATATATATATATATATATATATATATATATATATATATATATATATATATATATATATATATATATATATATATATATATACACACACACACGCACATATATATATATAAGTATATTTTACATTTTAGTGCTGTCAAATCGATTACATATTTACAAACCTTTATGTTAGATGTGATTAATCGATTAGACGGCACTAATACATTTATTTCTATTCATTGAATTTTTTTTTGTTAAAATTACACTTTACTGCACTACATACAATATTGATATCTTCAAAAAGTTATGTAATATATTGTTAATACATTTATGTAGGTATATAACAATATATACATGTTTTAAATTTTTGTTTCCATTTTCTTTTTTTCTTTTAAAGAGCAATGAATTCATTAATGCAATGCTCTACATTTTGAAAATAAATGTTATATTCTGGCCAAATTTAATCAAATACATTTTTTTTTTTCAGCGCAAATTTGAAATTTAAGAAAGAAACATTCAGCGCTAATATATCTACAGTGATGTGTTTAATAAAGACAAAACGAATGAATGAAAGTGATAAATATGGATGAAAACAAATCATGTCTATCGAGATTCTGTGCAGATAAAAGTGAGATTTCCAATAGTTTGGGGGGGGCGGAGTTTTGTCTTCTCTTGGGAGCTGCCTTAGTGACCTTATGCCACTCACCATGGCAACAGGCTTTGGGGGAGGGGCAGAGTACAGTGGGAGGGGCCTGCAGCACAGCTGCCCTTATTTATGCACACACCTGCTGCAGCACACACATACACACACTCGCATGAATAAAACACACTGTATTTACTATATCTTTTACTGTTGAGTTCACATTTTAAAATTTTCTTTAGTGGCTGTTGAAGAAAGTGTTCAAATGTGTCATTTGGATGTGTCCATATGAGAGGGAGAGCATGTGACACTGTGTGTGTGTGTGTGTGTGTGTGTGTGTGTGTTCTTGTGGTTCCTGATCGCCCTGAGGAATTCAGATGAGTTAGAACAGTGTCTTTCTTTCACACACTGTTTATACACACACACACCTACGTTTACTCGGCCAACTAAATTAGAACATCTCATAGATTTCTGCTGTTTTTGTATAAATAACACTGACCTGAAGCCTAAAAGAAAACATGTGTTTGTATAAATAAATATAAACAAAAATTAAATGCATATAAATATGAATAAATATATAAATACATAAATATAAATGTATTAAATGAATATAAATAAATAGATGAATGAAAATTAAATGCATATAAATAACTTTAACCCTAAAAGAAAACATTTGCAATTCTATAATATTTTTTTAAAATGTATAAAGAAATATAAAGAAATTAAAATAATGCATATAAATATGAATAAATTAATGAATATAAATGCATATAAATATAAAAACATAAATAAATATTAATATAAATAAATGGATATTAAAATAAATGATGCATCTAAGTATCTAACTTTTGCATTTCTAGAATAAAAAAAAAAAGTTTTTATAAATAGCTTTTTACATGGAGGCTTTGTCATATTTAGCTCACTGTTATTCTCAAAGTATTAAGTAATAATAATATAATCTGTGTGAATTCTGTGTTCCTTTAGGTGTCCTGCAGACTTCGTCGGCCCCAAATGTCAGTTCCCGAACCCGTGCAGCCCGTCGCCGTGCCGTAACGGAGGTGTTTGCCGTGCACGGACGCAGGGGAATGACGTGGAGGTGACCTGTGACTGCGTCTTAGGATACAGCGATCCGCTCTGTCTGACACCTGTCAATCATGCCTGTATGAGCTCCCCGTGCCGTAACGGCGGCACCTGCTCTCTGCTCACGCTCGACACCTTTACCTGCCGCTGCCCACCTGGATGGTCAGGTATGACCATCACACACTTACATCACCCAGACTAGAAGCTCTTCCTTGTGAGTTGGAAGATAAGTTAACCTCTACTTTTTCTTTTATGTGCATAGGTAAAACATGCCAGCAGGCCGACCCGTGTGCGTCGAACCCCTGTGCCAACGGTGGTCAATGTTCAGCGTTCGACTCGCACTACATCTGCACCTGCCCTCCTAACTTCCACGGCCAGACGTGTCGGCAAGACGTGAACGAGTGCGCTCTCTCTTCCTCCCCCTGTCGTAACGGAGGCACCTGTATAAACGAGGTGGGCTCGTACCTCTGCCGGTGCCCACCGGAGTACGCTGGCACACACTGCGAGCGCCTGTACCACCCGTGCCACCCCTCGCCCTGCAGGAACGGAGGGACCTGCTTACAGACCAGCGACACCTCCTACGCCTGCACTTGTCTGTCAGGTAAGTGTGCTTATTTGTGTGTCAAGTTTGGCATCTTTTTTGGGGGGGGGGGGTGGGGTTAACAATTTTTTTTATGAATGAATATATATATATGAATATACACTACCCTTCAAAAGTTTTAGATTGGTAGGATTTTTTAAATGCTTTTAAAAGAAGTCTCTTCTGCTTAAGGCTGTATTTATTTGATCCAAATACAATTTAAAAGAACTGTTATATTTTAAAGTGTATTTTATTCCTGTGATCAAAGCTGGATTTTCAGCATCATTACTCCAGTCTTCAGTGTCACATGATCCTTCAGAAATCACTCTAATATGATGATTTGATGCTCAAGAAACATTTCAGATTATTATCAATGTTGAAAACAGTTTTTCAGGATTTCAGGATTTTTTTGATGAATAGAAAGTTCAAAAGAACTGCATTAATCTGAAATTAAAAGCTTTTGTAACAGTATAAATACCTTTACTGTCACCTTTGATCAATTTAATGCGTCCTTGCTGAATAAAAGTATTAATTTAGCTAATTTCTTTAAAACAAATTTTTTACCCATCTAAAACTTTTGAACGGTGGTTGTGTGTGTGTATATATATATATATATATATATATATATATATATATATATATATATATATATATGTATACTTATATATATTTAAATATATGTATTTATCATGAAAATATATTTTTATTTATTTAATGAATGAATAAATACAGTATGTGTGTGTATATATTAGGGCTGTCAAACGATTAATCGCATCAAAATAAAAGTTTGT